AGATAGTGTATGACCCTATATAACATCCGTGTTGACTTCAACATCCTGCTAGGTGAGGGTGTAGGCTATGTCATGGATTGGAGGTATGGCTTTATTCTGTTTTTTCGAGCACTCTCTCGCGTAGTGCTGGACACTTCCACATATGCGGCATGTATTGTTGAGGTGATAACAAAGTCGGTCTCCATGATTTTTGTCACACTGCATGCAAGTCCTACCGCATCCTGTTGCTGGAACTTGAGAAAGAGTTTGAGTCGCGGGCCTAAGTCTCTTGTTCTGCTGAATCGATGCAGTAGGTGCTGGCCTGCAGTATGAAACCGGAGGAATGAAATTGCCCACTGCTGGAGGAAAGATGCGAAGTTTTCTCTCTATCAACTGTGCCTTAGCCAGAAGTGCTGAGTAAGTGCTTCGCTTGAATACATTTAGTTGTTGTCTGATCTTAGAATGAATGTCCCACTCAAACTTTCTTGCATTTCTACCTTTGTCCATCATGCTTTTAGGAGAATATCAGCCAAACACTAGGAATTTTCGGGCATATTCAAACACTGTCATCTCACCCTGGACCAGGTGTGCAAACTCCATCTCATTCAAATGCAGAAGATAATTTGGGAGATACTCTGCATTGAAAGCTACCAGGAACTGTTTCTAAGTGAGCGATATGGGCAAGGTGGCTTGCTTCAGCTACCACCAGCGACTTGCCTCACCCACGAGCATGTAGGTAGTAAGTATAACGTTCTGTTCAAAAATAGCCCCAATAGCTGCGAATACCTTCCCTGTCTCTGTTAACCAGTGCTCGTCCTCTTTGAATGTAGATGCCCCTACAAAAGTAGATGAGTTAAGCTTTTTGTAGCTCTCAATGTAACATGGGTCCATCACGGGCGGAAGTGGGTCCTGTTGATGAGGGACTAGATTATGGTGGGGAAGAGTCGGGTGGTCTTATGGCAAATACTGGTTGTATGCTGGGGGCACTAGATTATACTGTGGCGGTCTCAAATGATATTGTGGAGGAGAATTGTTGTATCATAGTGGCATTGGATCCTCTCATTACAAGGGTGGCTCATATTATAGCAGTGGAAGAGGATCGTAATACCTGAACCCAAAAATTTAACCCAGGATAATTTAAAATTAACAAAATATAAAATTAAAATAATTTAATTTTTAATTTTTTTGTCATTTGTGAAAAAATATGGATTTTGAATGAAATTAAAATTAATTTTGGCAAACATAGTGAAAATGTGAATAAAGGGGGTGTATTTAAAAGAAAAATTAAAAACAGTAGGTCAAATCGTAAAAGGAGAAATGCGAACACGTGGGACGGTCACATCAATAGTAATGATGAGTCAGAACGTGCCGTGTGGCGGAAACACTGGCACGGGTTCCACGCGGGAGCCATACGGGCGATCCGTGTGCTTGGGCGATCCAACAGCCCTCATCTGTCCCGCTTGCACGAACGATGAGATCCCCCCCCCACCATATTCAAACGGATGGCTCTGATCAGCTATGTGAAGATCCAACGGTGAGGCAATGAACGGGTGAGATTTACTCTGGATGATTGCAATGGAGGACCTAAATTTATGCCAGGATCTTCTTAAACGGATCTTGAATCAGATGAATCTTCTTGCTCCACATCGACACAAATGGACAATCGGAATTAGGTGAAAAGAGGTATTTAAAAATCTTTTCAGTGGACTCTTAAACCCTATCCGTGAGAGAGGTGATCAGAGAAGAAGAAAAGGGGCGGCTAAAAAGCGAACCAGTTGCCAGAGAATGAGACTAGCCACCGTTTCTGCCTCATAGGAGCCATCGCCGACACCAAAAAGGTAAAAAAATTTCCTTTTACACTCAGAATTGGATCTCGCACCTCCTTACATGCATGTCGGAGCCAAAAGGCCAACGGGTTAGCCAGAAATTGCCAGCAGAGCTCAGCCAACCTGCTACGACTGCAACCCAAAAACCCCTCCGATGAGCCCCTTCACGATTTTTGTTCCCTTTTATTCATTGACCAATGTGTTTCTTGTCTCTTTTGTGTATAAGTTAGTCGAAGAGAAACTCCGACCGCAAGAGAGGAACCACGGACCCGTCGCACTGGGAAACCCCTCTGCTGGTAGGGTTTCGGTTTTTCCCTTTTTCGGTCGATAGAGGCCCCCTAACCCTGTTCTTTTGTAGGTTTCCATGCGAAATTGTTCAAAACCGACCGAAAACAACCAAGTTGAGAGGAAGTGCCACCTTCGACGACGGAACTGGTATCATTACCCTAAACTGGTCGAAAAGATTTAAAAATGCTTATTTTAGCTTTTTTGAGGGTATTTTGGAATAAGTAATGTGTGTTTTTTATTTTCGCAAAAAAAATTCCAGAAACTCGAGAACTGACAGGAGACCCAGTGAAAAAAATAGTATTTCGAACACTGATTTGGGATAAAAATCTCTCACATTTCTCTTCCGTTATGGTAAATTAAAGTCTAATAAATAATAGCAGTGTATTTTATAAAAATTAAAAATCTCTAAATTAATTACGAGTCATCAATGGAACCAGAACTGTTAGTGTATAATTTCCTTAGCTGTGTTGTTTGTATTCTCTTATATTATCTAAATTGCTATTGTTTATTTATTTTAATTACTTTCTCGTTCGTTGATTATTGTGCTGATTATTCTCACGTATCGATTTATTATAAGCAAATGCCCTAATTGCGTTTTCTTGATTTTCATATTTTCTATTTGCATAACTTATTGTTGATATGTAAATATGAAATGTTGGTATGTAGTTGGTGATTGGTTGATGATGTGGATATATCTATGAAAGGTTTATCGGGTACCTTGAGGAATTGTGTATGAACCCGGTGTATTGAAAAAATCCTACCGTGGACATCACCTCAGTCAAATGAGGCTAAGAAATCCTATATCGGAAGGGGTTGGGAGGTATAAGTCACCCTCATATCGGATGAGGTATTGAAGCGGTGATATATTTGACGCCTAGTACCGGATGGGGTATGCGAACAACTGGTTAAATGGTAAATTGGATATTAGGTCTACGCGTATGGGGGGTCCCTATGGACCCACAAAGGTACTGGTAAGCAGGTAATAATGTAAAGTTACTGTTATTGTTCATTTAAATGTGAAATAAAATATTATCTCGGTTATTGTCTTCATAGGTCGGTTTTGGAAATTCATAAGGATAAGTATGGGAATAACAATTTTTATGTTAAATGATTTTATTTATAAAAAGATAATGACTCTATTGGTTATTTACGATTTTTACAAATATTTAGTTTTCCGTATTGGTGCTAAACGTGATATTCTTATTGGGTTAATGTAGTTCATCCATCTATTTACTTATTTTCATATAAAAAAGAATAAGATCCAGATCCTGAGTAGTAAGAAGAAGGTTGCGAATAAAACTGCATCCTGCATCCCATCAAAGTTGCCCAACCGAAGTTAACTCCATAAGATCTTTAGTTGTATTTTTATTTATTTATTTATTCCATTATTGAAAATTTTCTTAAAAGGACATTTTTATAGTTTTATTGGGAATCCCGATTCATTGTATAAGAAATATAAACTTTAAACTCTTAACTGCTTCTGCTTTTACAATATATATTTATTTCTTTTAAATTTTGAGCCTTTACATTTATGCATGCTACTTTAGACTATAAATATATTAATTATTATAAAGAAGAAATACCGTAAAGAATACATATTTTTTTAATTTTTGAAGTTGACATGCTTTAGTAAGGTCAAAACAATATTATCTTTACACATATCATGGGCAATTGCACTAAATTTGGGAAAAGAAGTGTGCTTTTCTTAGTTTGGATTCAATTATTGTAGGTAAGATTATGTGGGTAAATGGGAAAGTTTTTTAACAAATAATATAATTTTTTAATGCAAATAATTAGTGAAATCATCAAAATTAATTAATTATTCATATTTTCTGCAAATATTAGGAAGATATGTCAATTATAATTAAAATTAATAAAATATTGAATCCCAATAGTTAAATTAGAGTAAATTTCAATGAGTATATTATTTTTTTAAGTAAAATAATATTTCATTAGAGTTAAATTTTATTAATTGGAGAAGTTAAGCTAAGATAAAAATACAATTTAGCTTTTTATTTTTCAAAAAGGAAATGTTGGAATTCAACAATTTTTTTTTTCTTTTTTTTTTTATACCTATGTATATATATATATATATATATATATGTACATAAGAAGGGTTAGTCTTTATTGGCCATGATTACATCAGCTGGAGTATTTTTTATAAAATAAAAATAATTAATATATATATAAATGGGCCAATGAGGTCACTTCAAAGTTCAAACAAAGAAAGGAATGGCTAGAGATTACATTACATGAACTGCAATATCATTCTCTAGACTGATCTAAGCATTCACCAACTTCTTAAGTATCCATCTTTCACATATACATACATCACATACACACACACACATATATATATATATATATGGATCACTGGCTCCACTTCCTTCTTACTGCCACTTGGAAGCAAACCGCGTCTCTACAGGACTTCATCCTCATTTTTCTCAAAACACTAATAATATATTTAAAATTTTATTACCACTTTTTTTTTTTTTTTTTTTCAATTTTTTAAAGTTTACACCTTTGATCATTTGTAGCTTCAAAGATCGAGCAAATAGCATATACATATATATATATATATATAACTTTCTTTTATTTCATTCTTTTTTGTTTAAAATTAATCCTGTGGATCATTTTCAAGAATATTCAGGCAATGGCACAAACACATACACGCACATATATATGAAAATGGAAACATATATACACACATGTAAGTACATGCGCATCGATGGATGGATGCATATACATAAATATAGTTGCCAGTCATGCAACTACTCGGAAACTCACTTCTTTCTACCAATAAACCTCCACGTTGCAGAACCCATTAACATATTACACGTCTATAAATACATGCAACCCCATGTCACCTCCTCGTTACCCCCTGCAACCAAACAAAACAAAAATATCTCTGCAAAACACCTAAAAATCTACTTACCATCAATGGAAGAAATCGGAAGCAGCAGCAATCCCCGCGGAACTTCATCGAGTTACAGAGGGGTTCGGAAAAGAAAATGGGGCAAATGGGTGTCTGAAATTCGGGAGCCTGGAAAGAAGAGCAGGATTTGGCTAGGCAGCTTCGAGACTCCGGAAATGGCCGCCGCCGCATACGACGTCGCAGCCTTGCATTTCAGGGGACGCGATGCTCGTCTAAACTTTCCTCAACTTGTCAACGATCTCCCCAAGCCAATAAGCTCCGACGCCGACGATATTCGGCTGGCGGCTCACTCGGCGGCTGTCCGCATCAGGACGACTCCGAGTAGTGGAAGTACTTCGACGGGAGCTGCGGAGGGTAGTCCTGGCGGCCCTGTAGGAAACGCCGCGCCGATCACCGTTCGGCTTTCGCCGAGCCAAATTCAGGCGATCAATGAGTCGCCGTTGGACTCGCCGAAGATGTGGATGCAAATGGCGGGAGCGCTCATGTTAGACGACGACGTTTCGTCCATGAGGTTTCCTTATGAAATGGATATGGAGGAGAATGAGTGGGAAGATTTGCAGACGTCACTCTGGGACCCTTGAGTTTTAGGTACTTACAATTACTCTTACTAATACGGCGCCGTATCATCCTAATTATTAAAAAAAAAAAAAACCAACATTAATTATTTATAACATTTATTATTATAATTGAATAAATAAATGGGGAGGCCGATGATTCATTCGTAGACGAAGTGAGTCGACTGACTGTTCTATGAAATAGTAATGAGTTACTTGGTGGGAACCGGGGGGGAGGAGAGCAGGACACGTGTAAAAATCTGAGGGAGTTCTGGTGGGACCCGTTAAGCATCTTACAAGTGGATATTTGAGGGCCATAAGATTGAGTTTGATTTTTTGTTTTTTTTAAAGGGATATATGATTACAGATATAATAGGGAGAGGTGGGACCACGACCTCTAATGTATCAGCTGCGTTTTTTAAAATAAGCTGTGATAGTTACTAATAGTCTGTTATGTACATTGAATTAGATTGGATTCATCAATTAATTAATAATAATGTTTTATTATAATTATAAGACCCCTTTAAATCTTCTCCAAAGTTAACGCATTTGATATTAATTGCCAAAATTTATGTGCTTTTTTGTTATAAATGTTCTTGTTTATAAATTATGTATATTGTGATTAATTTATATTTATAACATAATTAATTAATGTATAAATTTGTTGGGTTTTTTTATTTTTGCATATTTTTAGGTAAAACATTATCGAGCACTAGAATTTTAATCATAGTAAAATATAATAGAAATTAAAAATAACTTTTCTTTATTTTTTTTTTCAAGTTATAAGGTTTCTTTTAGTTTTTACATTTTAATTAAATATAATGAGAATATGAACATTAGATGAATAAAATAAAAGTTTAACTGATGTAATGAGTGAATTTTATATTTGATCTAAATATGATGTTCTTGTTAGTGAAAATATAAATTCATAATTATAAAATCAATTATATAAGTGTTGTCATTCGGAGTAAATTTAGATAAACTATATCTTTAAAAAATATTTTATTGCTATAAAAAAATAGATAAATATAAAAATAAAATAAAAAAATATTAAATTTTACCTAAAAAAACTCATAAAATATTAATCAAATTTTTTTATAAAAAAAAATATACTATTAAAAATTTAGTAAATACATATAATCTCAAATCAATGGTAACCCTATTCAACACTTATAAATCTCACGAGCCTCAAGCTTATCTTTATAATGATTTTTTTTTTAATTCAATTTGTGATTCATAATCTTTCACAAATACGCACGTACCAAATTATACATATATATATATATATGAACAACTCCTATATGTATATATTTGTATTCATTATAGGCTAGACCCGTTTAACAATAATATGTAGAATCGTATGTTTAAAGCAAATATTGTACCTTCTTGCTAATCCTTGTATATAATCAAAATATAAATCAAAATTAAATCACAATTTATAATGACTTCCATGTTTAATTAAAGTTAATTATTTTATAGCTCACGATGAAATTCAAGATGTAAACGTGTGGGATTAGTTTCAATTGAGCATTAAAAAAAAAATATATATGCAACTTATAACTAAGATATTTATTTTATTAATTAACATTTAAGAATATAGTTATACAATGTATTAATGTATTTTATAGGCAAATTGTAGCAAATTTCAAAATTTTGGAGATTAATTTAATAATTAATATTAAAATTTAATAAATAAATAATTATTTAAATTACGGAATGGTTTAATATAATTTTACATATATGTATCAACTATATATAATCTTACATACATCGGGTCAAATTTTCACGGTATGGTTTTCACATTCGTTAATTGGGCGGATTCAAATTCCAATCAATCAATGGGCTCTAATTGGTAAGGCTGAAGTTTTTGACATTTGATTGGACGTACAAGCTCTCATAAATTATGTGAATAATTTGAAATAATACAATTCTTTTTATTTATAAGTATAATATGTGTCTAGAAAAATAATTAAAATAAGGTTGGTGGCACATCATCATCTTTGCGATCCGATTGATGAAAATACATTATCCAACCATCCAGATGACTAAACCAAATTGTAACAGTGGTTTAATTTGATATATATATATATATATATTAGTTTAAGTGTTTCAAATGCATAATAAATTAAAAATCTCATATGTTCCATTCATTTTAAATTATTAGAACTAAAATTTAGCATATTTCAATTTTATTTATAAAATCTACCAATTTATTTGTATTACGCAAACAGCTAAATATAAATAAAACACAAATTTTCCATCATATAAATAGTCAGATTATATTATGGATAGTTTATATTAAATTTAATTCAGATAGTAATTATAATAATTATTTATTTTAAAATAATTATATAATTTTTAATATTTTTTATCATATAAATTAAATTATGACACTAAAATTATTTATTAAATCCCACGTAAGCAAAGAAAATGAAATTTACAATTATATATATAGTGGAATTTATGAGAATGTTTATCATCATAAGAAAATCAAACCATTAACTTAACACGTACATACATGAATGTTAATACTGTAAAGTTATAAACGAAATTTAATTTTGTGTTTTTTGAAGGGAAAAAAAAAAAAAAAAGCTTTATTAATAAGAAATAGAAGAACCTTTGCTCCTTCTATAATTACTGCTAATTACATATGAGAAAAAATCAGTAGAGTAAGGAGAACATAATTCCTTCTGAAAAAAAAATTAGGAGAAAAAAAGAAAAGAAATCAGGTTTGATTCTGTCAGTCTGTGACCACCGACAATTTGTCGGGTCGTCCCCACGCAAACAGCACTTCCAAGCAAAACGCATGCATGAGCACGCAAAACGGCAACTCCTTCCGTGCGTATAGTGCACGGCTAATTCCCGACGTGCTTTCGCCGCCCCTTGTCTAATTTCTTATTTGTTTTTTAAATAAATATAAATTTGCAAATAAAAAGTTAAATCATAATTATCTGTTAATTAATTACCTAATAATTAAATTAATCCCAAATGGAGTCGAGCTGCATCTCTTCTCCCTCGCTCAACTCAAAATCATCATAAATCACAGAATCATAATGATGAAAATTATGGTCAGCTGCCAGCTCCATCCACATCGTCGGCGAGTCCAGCGGAAACTCATTAATCGCCTGAATTTGACTCGCCGACAACCCGACCCGAACCGGACCCAAACCCAAACCATCCGGTGCAGTTCCGGTAACCTCCGAACTCTTCATTGTCGGCCTTCTAAACCTCAATGCTGCTTGTTGAGCCGCCAACTGGACGTCCTCCGGGCTGGAGCTTGCCGGACGGGGAAGACTGTCGACCAGCTCCGGGAAGTTGAGCCGGGCACCCCGTCCTCGCAGGTGCAATGCCGCCACGTCATAGGCTGCGGCAGCCATTTCGGGCGTCTCGTAGCTCCCAAGCCATATTCGCGTCTTTTTCCCAGGCTCCCGGATTTCCGATACCCATTTCCCCCATTTCCTCTTTCGAACTCCCCTATATGTTGCACCAACACTTGCATGTTCTTCCATATATATGTGACTGTGTATATAAACCCTAGAAGGAAAGTTGCAGAGAAGAAGAGATGCAGAAGTGGTTTCTTGAATTGTTTAACTAGTAGAGGAACTGTGTTTGTTATACGTATATATACATATATAGAGAGAGAGGGGTATATTAATAGATTCTAGAGTGGAGAAGAAGAGAACTTGGGTTTAGTTTTTGAGACAAGGTCACGTTTGGATGAGTATTTATAAAGAGGAGACAATGTTAATTATTTGATTTAGTTAATGAATTAATTAGTTTATTAAATATACTTCAAATAGGTTGTGTGTGTGCATTTAATATTGTGTGTGTGTGTGTGTGTGTGTGTGTGTGTATATGGAGAGTGGGGACATGGGAGGAGAAGGGAGTGAGCTTCCAAGTACTTACTAGAGAGTAGTGGGAAGAGGCTGTCAATGCATGCATGTGCACGTTTTGTTTGGAATGATGTAATCATGTCATGACACATATCTCCTTCATACGTATAACTATATATACATATATATATATATATATCGTCAGTAAACAAATACCCAATATGGTACTATGTTTTCAATGCATGGTTCTGATGACGAGGCATGCATAGAGGGTTTTTTATTCTTCAGTTTACATAAATTAGTATTTAAAACAATCTCAATCACTAATCAAACACTAATATCAGGTTTTATATATACGTATGTATATATGAAATATAATTATATATATTATACGGTATGCATGTGTTTTCTCACTTTTGAAGAATAAATTAAATATTTTATTAAAAATATATAATGATTTTCAGTACTCTGGTCGTACAAAATTTAAAGGATTTTGTATGAGACGTGAGCCTAAAGGATTTTCTATTGAATAACGCGGTTTACTGACACGTGTCAGTTGGTAGGTTCCACCGACCCAGTGGCCTTCTATAAATTTCAATGAAAATGTAATAATTAATTAATTAATTAATAAACAAGAAGGATTAGAAGATTCTATGCCGCCACATTTAAGTTTCCCATTTCTTGCATGCTTTCTGGTTGACGTTTGATCAATATGACGACCCTTCATATACATATATATATATAGATATATAGATATTCCTGGTAGGATAAAATATAATTTTATGAATTCAATTTATATATTTTAATTAACCTAAAATTAGGTCCAAATAGGGTTTTGCTTATATTTTCTGAAATTCTAAATCGGGTCGAATGTATAGCTTTGCAATTGCATCTAAATAAACCCTTAAGTGAGTTGAAAACATTAAGAATTATTTATAATTCGCTACCATTTGTTTGTATAATAAAATAAAATTTGATATTTTAAAGTTTAAATAGAAAACAAAATTTTCTAACCTATTTTCTCTCACTTTCTTTCTCTCATTTTCTCACCTACCAAATACATTATTTATATTTCATTAATATTCTCATTTCTCTTATTTTCCTTCCCTCCATATAAAAAATTATCATATTAAATTCACGACAACAAGTACATAAAAAGAAATAATATTGGTTAATCAAAATTATCCGATTTTCTCTCGTTTTTTTTCTTATTTTCCTCTTTCCCGAGCCCTAGCTTTTTACCCTATCAACCAGTAGATCGAACCATTTCTTCATCCTCGCCCTTTATTCTTTTTCTCAGATTTTTCTCTACCTCTTCCTCCATTACCATTATCGCTGTAACGGCCCTGGAAATAAAAAATATATATATAAATTTATTTTAAGTGCGGAAGCGAAATAAAATAGAATATGATTAACATCTCTTACACAATAACCAAAACGAATTAAACATATGAGAGAATAAACTAATTAAGGGAAATATTATGAATGAATACTATAAGGAAAAACTAATAAATTCTTAAGCTTCTACTCGCCCTCTTCCTACAGAACGGGCTCGGAAACCGAGTCCTCCTGATCTGAAATGGTTAAGTAAGGCATGAGTTACAATAGCTCACTAAAGACATCACACTATCTCACTGTCACATAAGTAAAGGTTGGTAGAAAACAAAAACGACAAATGGAGTATATTTTATAACAAACTCATTTATCAAGAATAAAAACCTTTACTGTCCACTTATCTCGGTGAGATTCATGAAAACAACTTATGAGAAACTATAACATCATAAACATCATAAGATCATGCACACTTTGTAACATAACACATATCATACTTTTGTATTTCGATAATCAGATAACAAATTTCCTCTTTTATCAGCTTACTAGTATCCATTGGGATCCCTGCTACACGTAAACCATTCACATTAATAACTTAATTCCATTGCCGTCCCCATACCCCGTTCGGTATGAGCGCCAAAATCATAAACCTCAATACCCCGTTCGGTATGAGGGTCAAACGGGTCGTCTCATACCCCATCCGATATGAACACCAAAACACATAAAGTCTCTATACTCCGTCCGATATGAGATACCACGTTCCCGGTAGGGTTCCCTGTAGACTCGGTCTGTTCACCATCTCCCAGGATATCTAGTGAGGTTTTCGACATTATCCATTTATCAATTTACATATATTTTTCTATTTTTTTAATCTCAATTATCCAATCAAACATAAATAAGTAAACCAGTAATGGACACAAAACAAGGTAACACAACATCGGATTCATAATAATTCAAACCATAATAAATGAAACCGTGATTCATGCATACAAAACCATAGAATAAACACATTAGGCACCATACTGCATTTAAAATTATAAAATAAATCAAACAACAACTGACTGAAAAAAATATCAGATTCGGGCTCTATTACCAACCTTAATTAATTATATATATCTATTAATTGACAACATATCATTTTATCATTTATTAAGGTTTAATGCCGTAATAGAAAATAGGGTGAGAGATCCTTACTTATTTCGAAATCTAAAATCGGGTTCTCACTGCGTCTATGGGTAGTCCCTAGATTCCCTGAATTTTTTTTCAAAAATTGAAACACACTTCCGGTACCTGCACATGTGGCAAAAAATTTTAAATCGGACCCAAAGCCTTTTCGGCCAATTTTAGAATTCCGGCACGGCGGCTCTGTCGCCCACAGTGGCGATTCACCTCGGGTAACTTGCATTGGTTCCTATGATAAAATACCCCTAGGGCCCTCGGTGGGCCAAAAAATTTCAAAAAACTGAGATTTACCGTCGGCGAAGCTCTCGGGTACGGCGGCTCCTCCGGCGCGAGTTGCGATTTGGTGTTTTACTCCGGTCAACCTTTAGAGAAAAGGACGGTAGTCACAGTGGTATAAAAAATTACATCGAACGGAAACCGGGAAAGGGCCTTATCGAATGCAAAAACTG